AGAAAATTGGGAATATCTACCTCATTGACATTCTGTAATAATTAAAATAAGGAAAGCGCTAAGCACAGTACCTGTATACCAGAGGTGTTAACTTCTCAGAAAGTTATTATCCTATTAATACAGAAAATTTTAATTGATCTGAAATGAAGGAACAGAATGACACAGCTGAAGAGAAACCTAGGTGACCTACATTCACACCAGGTTTAATTTTTGTTATAAATGCCTCTCCTATAGCTCTCTACCACCAAAAGTGACAATGAGACTGTGCCTTACTGGACTGGCTGGCAAAGTTTGACTCAAGAGAAACTCAAGAATCTTTCAGGCTCTGATATATAATCCCTTTTATTTACCTACATTTAATTGAAGACATCTGTAAGTGGTGCCACACAAAATGTAATTCAGACTTAGAAATGTCAATAAAAATGTCTGTAAGGCTGGGTCCAGTGTAAGCCTAGCAGGGGAGTACATAGCAGCAGCTACAGAGCCACACGAAATTAGGGATCTAATGGAAATATGCTGCCTGACTTGACGAGGTGATAAAAGCTCTTTTCCCATAAAGCTTAATGAGCTCTATTAGTCTTCAGCTTACAGGAATGTAAAAGGGTCAGCCCCACAGAGGGAAGTAACTGACTCTCCACACATGGTCCATTCAAATGACAACATATCAAATTACTGATGTAATTACTACAACCTGACAATTTCATTAGATTCCTGTGGCAGTTAACTGTTTAGGACTTACAACAAAGGGACACGGTTCATTCATAGTAATCATTGTGGAGAAAGTGAAGTTTAAAGTCAGTTTTCAACTGCAAGTCTCGTGTATTTTATTGTCTCTGCCAGAATAATTTGACTTTTATTCAAAATTAAAGAAGGTGCAGGGTATAGACCATATTTGTAATTTTCCTTCTCCAGCTACATCATAAGCTTAATGGCAAAATTAAACATTTAGAGACTCCCAACACTGTCCTGCCTTGGCTTTGCTTGGGCTCTCAGGCGCTATGTGGTGGCAAAGGAACAACAGCCCCCGATTGGTGCTGCTGGAGGAGACTCGGGGGCAGCTGCCACTAACTAAGCCCTCAAGTGGCCCCTGTGGAATTCCAAACTAGAAAATATCAACAGAAAGCCTTCAGTGTATTTCCCATCAAGAAAAGTGACTTACATTGGTCATCTTTAATTTTGATTTCTCTTCCTCTCCAACGTCATAAACTCAGTAATAAAAAAGACAATTTAGCCAAGGTAAAACATCACTCCAGATCACTAAGTGATGGAAGCAGACAGAAAAGGACAGAAACTATCATTAAACTCTGGATACTTTCCCTTCTAATTTTCACCAAAGATTGAAGCTTCCTCACTCATATTCCCAATACTTAATCAGAGTAGTAATATGTAATTTAAAAGTATATATTTGTGGCTAGGTATAGTGGCTCACACCTGTAATCCCAGCACTTTGGGAGGACGAGGCAAGTGGATCACTTCAGGTCAGGAGTTCGAGACCTGCCTGGCCAACATGGCGAAACCCCGTCTCTACTAAAAATACAGAAATTAGCCAGGCATGGTGGCAGGCACCTGTTATCCCAGCTACTTGGGAGGCTAAGGCAAGAGAATCATTTCAATTGGAAGGTGGAGGTTGCAGTGAGCTGAGAAAGTGCCACTACACTCCAGCCTGGGTGACAGAGTGAGACTCAGTCTCACAAATATATGTGTGTGTGTGTGTGTGTGTGTGTGTGCGCGCACGTGCACATGTGTGCGTGTATTTTCATATACTCTATATACTCTAGGTGCGGCTAGTGTACTCTAGGTACACTCTGAGCCCTATCTATAACCAAGAGCGTCCAAAGATTAAACAGGACAAAGGTCTCAATCTTAAGTAGCTACAATCTAACTAGGAAGACAGACGGTTAACCATGCTAAAATATAAATATTGGTCCCCTGCCCATGACTAAGGTGAAACACATGGGAAAAAAAAAGAAAAAAATATATAAATATTGGAACTTGTCTACTTTTAGCTGAAACCTGCCAAATTATGGATAAAAGACTGCTACTCTCAGTGTAAGCCCCACCAAATTCATTCATTCATCTGTTCATTCATTCATTCGACAAATATTTACTGACTCAGTGCCCGCTGAACCGTAGATTCCATCAGAGACAGTAAAAGGGGCCTCAAAGTATTCTGAGATTTTTAGAAGGACTATGTTCTACTTATACGAAGAATGGGAACACAAGAAAAACAGGGTCATCTCTCAATGAGCTTACATTTGAGACGTCAACTGGTAAGATTTATTGAGAAGCATCTTTGTCACTCGTTAGTAACAGTCTCAAATTGCTACTTGCCCCAGTAAAGTGGACATCAAGCTCAAGCCTCCTTATTTGGTCCCTGCGTAGGGAAGCCAACCCAGCCCAATTGCCTTCTGCTAAAAACCCTTATTCCTGTTCATTCCTCTAAGCTTTTGCTAAAATGAGAGTCCAGCGTTACACATTATCCACATTATCTCATCTAAGTTCCTGCCAGCCCCTTTTTTCCAAGGCTAGACACCGTTTCCACATCAAGTCAAAGAGACTCCACTGATGTACACCTGTTAAACACTGACTACAAGAAGCATTACCAAAAAGCTACCAATGCACCTCTATCCACTGTGGGCCCTTTGCTGGGAGAGTAAAGGACAAAACAACTTAACACTTTGTAGTTGTTAACATTTTGTGCATCTCCTTTCTACTTTTCTGTGCACTTGAATTGTTTTTAAACTGAGATATGCATGTATAATTTTGCACCCTGCTTTTACCTCTCAATATATCAAATCTGTTTTAGATGTTATTTATCAATATATACTCATGAGCACATATTCATAACTTCTATTTTAGGGTGTTCTATCATATGGCTGTGTCATAATTTATTTGACCTGTTCCACATTTAGATTGTTTACAATTTTTAACCATTATAAATAATGCTATAATAAACATTTTTATGCAAGTTTTGTCCTCATCTTTGATTACCTCTCTGACAGTGATTCTTGGAATGAAATTACACAACCACAGGTATGAATGCATACAAAACCTTTAACGTATGTGACCAAACTGCTTCCTGTAAAGGATGAAATTTATAAACATCCCATCTTATTATATCTTGTCAAGCATTCACTTAGAAAATAAGATATCGTGACAGGATCAAAAAAATTGTAGCTCATTGTCATTTTAAACTGCATTTATTACTAATAAGATTATCATTTAAAACACATTTATTACATTTGCATTTTATCTAGTCAATTACCTGATAAAAATCCAACCAAATTTTATGCAAAAGAAATTAGTATTTTTAATTGATTCTAAAAAATCATTACATTAAGTATAACCCTTTCATCATACTTTACCCAAGTTACCTTTTAGCTATATTTGTTTTCATGTGCAAAAGTATGGATCTTTACATAATCTAATTAATTTTTTCACCCTTTGTTTTTTGATACTTTCCATTGCTTTTGAAGTTAGAAAGTGCTTCCATAACTATAGAGCAGGCTATAAAACGTATATTGTCTTCAACTTTCTTATGGTTTGGTTTTCACTTTATGCCTAACCCTTAATTAAAATTCTATCTGCCAGGCACTGTGCTCAGTGTTTGCCATAGGTCACCTCATCTAATGTCAATATCCATATTAGTATTATTATCTCCATTTTTAGATTAAAAAAAAAGAGCTCAGGAGTCAATGGCTCACCCATGGGCTGCTTGGGCCTTTCTCATTTCAAAGCCCAGGCTCTTTCCACTGTACCACTCTGCTTTCCCCTTGATCCTGGATCCTAGACAATGTGACCAGACCTGGATGGGACAACCCTATCTGGTCTGATCCATTGTTCCTGGTGACCACACATTGTGCAATGTGCCAGTCTGGGCCACACCACATTATCAGCAGTAATAGTTTCAATAACCAAATAAACAATATGTTATAAAAGCAGAAATGGTCTCAGAAAGGACACGGATTGGAGTCTCAACCCCAAAGGGGAGTATGATTTGAACAAGCTGGGAATAGGAAAAGCATAAAATGAAATAAACAATAAGCAAAAAGGGAAGGACAAATGAAAGGCAAGGAACAGAGTCTCATCACGTCAGACTGAAGCCTAAGAGAACACAAAATAGTGCCATGATGTGCCTAGCAGAGTTTATAACTGCTCCCATTTCCATTACTTTATTTGAGAGGTAAGAATTATTATTTGTATTTAAAAGATAAGAAAAATGAGGCTCAGGGAAGTTGAAGTTGTGATTTACCCAATGTCATATGGCTAGTAAGTAAAGGCAGCTGTTACCCAGCTTTGGTTCTAAGTCCCACCACCTCTTCACATGCTCTGCTTCCATCCTTTCTCTACTTCCTTTTCCAAGTCTCGATGATCATCTACAAGTTTTTCTGCAACTGCAGCTCATAATGATATCTAGGTCTCTAAACATCTAAGAGCTTTTATCTCTCAAAATTTTATCACTGGATTCTCAGTTCTATACTGAAAACCATGATAAGGATTAAGTGAAAAAGTGAATGAAGAACCCAGAATACTGCCTTGTTATAACACAAGCTTAATAACTTTGCTCTTATCAATTTACGGATTTTCAAGTGGTCTCTCTAACTGAAACTTCCTTGAAGACCTCTGATTTTTCTAGCTCTCTTTTAATATCACGGCAATTTATAGAACATAAGGTGGCAGTTAAATAAACATTCATGGGAGTAATGAAGATACAACAAGGCTCTTTAAAATGAAGGACCAATTTCTCTCTATTTATTGAGAAAGAATACTTAAAAAGAGGAAATAACCTGTCATGAAGGTGAATTGCTATTAATATAACTTCTAGAAACTTTGATCCAAAAAAAAAAACCTACAGTAATTCACCCCATACTGTTATTGAAGAATAAATGTGTCACACCAAAATGACCGCTCCTAAATTATCAAATAAATGCCTAATGAAAGGTATCAGTAATGGTTTTCAATTACCAATTATAATACTAAGGTCAGTGAGTAACTCTTACCTCTAAAGGTGAAGTGCAAAGGAATCTTGTGAACTGTGGAGTCGAATTTGAACAGAATCCATTTCATCCAGCGAACAGACAGCAAAAAGGAACACAGAGAAAAGGAAAAAATTATTACACAATTTTCCAGTAAATGCACTTAAAGTGAACCTAAAGATCTACTATAGAAAATTAATGTGTCCATACAATTCATCCAGAATATAGAAAGGTTCAGCCTACCCCATAGGAGGTACCTATTTGAATTCCTTTTAATAAACATTCTTAAAAATCTGCATAAAAGCACATACAGCACAACAAATTAGTCCTAAAAAAAAAATAAGTTTTATCTCACACTCCTACATAATAAAAACACCCTTTTAGGGAAAAAAAAAAAAAAATCAATCTTCCTGACCCTAAATGTGACAGGCAAAGTTTAGTAAATGCCAAGAGAAGATATAAACCAATGAGGCGACCAAGGAAAGGGGACAGAAAGGACCAAGACAGAGGTTGGGTGAGTGAGACAGAGAGAAGGGTGAATTTTCATCTCCACAATGTGGCATCTCATCTGTGATCTTCACCCTGCTCTGATCTTTCTCTTTTCTCAGTCCCATACTCCCTTCCTCCTTCCATGTCTCCTTTCCTTCCTTTCTCCTCTCTTTCTCCCTTCTCCCTCATCTTTCTCTTTCTTTTTATGACACACATAGAGAATGTAGAATATCACCTGAAACTGAATGCTATACGATCAGCATTCAAATAAACAAACAAATTATAGAGGGGGTTATAAACAAATGACAAAGCAAATTGTAGGCTAGCTCTGAAATGAGGACTGTCATGTAACTTCACGCATATACATAATGGTAATTCATGTTTTCATAGATGTTACAGATTCAACATTTCAAATCCTTTGAGATTTATTGTAATAATACTCAAATAATATAAACTCTTTCTAAATGCAAATTAACTACAATAAAATGCAATGACAGGCCTGTTTCCAAGCACTCATGAACTTCCTCTCCACAACAAAGCTAGTACTCACAGGGAATGCAAATAACTTGCATTCTCTTTTAGAGTTACATATTGAAATATTTATCAATGAAATTATATGATGTTTGGAATTCTCTTCATGATCACTGGAGATGTGGGAAGAAAAGTAATATGGAGCAGTACAAAAATAAAACAGGCTAGCAGGGCGCGATGGCTCACGCCTGCAATCCCAGCACTTTGGGAGGCTGAAGCGGGTGGATCACCTGAGGTCAAGAGTCTAAGACCAGCCTGGCCAACACGGTGAATCTCCACCTCTACTAAAAACACAAAAATTAGCTGGGTGTGGTAGCAGGCGCCTGTAATCCCAGCTACTTGGAAGGCTGAGGCAGGAGAATTGCTGGAACCCGTGAGGCGGAGGTTGTGGTGAGCCGAGATCGCACCACTGCAATCCAACCTGGGCGACAACAGCGAAATTCCATCCCAAAAATAAAAAATAAATAAAATAAAACAGACTAGACATGATATTATATCAGTGAAGACAAGAGATTAGGGTTCATTACCTGATTCTATCTACTTCGTAAATGTTTAAAGTTTTCCATAACAAAGTTTTAAAAATATATCACATACTTCCACCAAAAACACTAAATACATTCTTAGAATATCACTAACGCATGCAGTATCATTAAGGCCCTAGTTGACAGTATATTAAAATGTAAACACTTCAGTAGGAAGCAAAAGAAAAAAAAGGAAAGAAAAGAAAAAAGCAAAATGCAAACAGTAAGAATTTTTTCTTAAATATCAATATGCAGTTTGATTATATTAACGCAAGAGAACTTTCTGAAAGTGCAAACTACAACAATATTTTCAGTTTTCTTAATGCTGACATGAAGCAAACAATTTTACTAAAATCTAAAATGCAAGCTTTGTGGTCTTGGATTCTTTCATTGCAGCCCAACCTAAGACAATATCTACCCTTCCTCCCAAGAATATAAAGCGCCAGTTCAAACACTAGCCAGTTTTAACAGTGGAGAAAAATGAGGCATGGTAAATTTTGATTTTAAAATCAGAAATTTGATACTGAAGGGTTCTATGATTTTCCCCAAAAGTGAATGTTAATATTATGTACATACTTTTGAATTTATAAGCAAGTCATGTTCTGTAGTAACGGATGCATCAATTAGGATGAAAGTTACTTTAAATAACAATAAAGAGAAGTATACGAATGCTGTCTATAAAAACTAATGTCTCCTTGAAGCTCCAACAATTTATACACATTTTTGGCACACGTATATGTCCAACATTTGTGTCACAGCTTTCTCAAAATAGACCTAAAAAATTCTCATCCTGTTTGAAGCTGCCAAAATGTGAAATATAGAAATAAAAGTTTTCAATCCTAAAGAAGACAAGACAGAATAACAAATCACAAGACACACACTGACACTCCTGTTCTCAGGACATGAAGAAGATTTCAAAAAATGCCTTTTGTTAGTGCTGCAGTGAAAACCCATTGTTTTTTCATGTTTCACTTCAGTTACTTAGTAAATTCTTTCATAATGAAACTATATATATTATATTAATAGAAATGGTAATACTTTGAAAACAATTATAAAATTTTTTGCAAAACACATTTTGTATATACACTGGAATTAAAAGTAGAAATAGATTGCTTAACAAACATTGTCACAATGTCTGATCAGTATTAAAAAGGACTACGGCTCAATTTTGCTGTTTGCCTAAAACTACTAAAAAGGAGTCTATAAAAAAAAAAAAGACTCCAGCTGCACACAGATGGTAGTACACATTAATACTGCTTTTCTGATATGGCTATGTTAATAGGACTACTTAATAATAAATAATAAGTAGAGTTAATAGTAGTTAAGAAAAAGATCATTTTCAAAATATTTGGGTATGATATTGAAAAAATAAAAAATTTAATGTTTTACAAAATCTCTTACTGGTTCTGCAGATGGGCATATATTTTATCATTCTAATATCAGAGGTTAACATAGCCATATTCTTTATCTTCCTGTGTACCCACTTTTAAAGATTACTTCTAGGAAGTACCTTGATTTAACATAGTTGAATAAAGAAATTACCTGAATGATATTTGGCTTTTTAAACTTAACAAGTTTCCTGTTAGTAACAATATTAATAACACTATCAATTTGATTCTCTTGATAAAATTTATAAAAATTCTGATTGCCAATTACTCTGTCTTGAATTAAAAAAAAAAAAGAATTATGGTCAATATTTAGAATCCAGGCATAAAAGGCATCAGTACCATTTTTGAAATCTTTTAGGCTTCTAAAAAGAAAAAGGATAGACACAGACAGGGCTCACTCTCCATAGTCTCTTACTGATCTGCTTTTCTTATTCTCATTTACCATGCCTGGTAGCCTGTCTCATAACATAATCCTTTCTCATTCTCTCCAAACAAGCACTTAATGCTTACCAACATTTTTTTTTTCTTTTTTTCTTTTGACTTCCCTACTTTTTAATTTTTTTTACTTTAAAAAAAACTTTTTTTGCTTACCAAAATTTTCTAAACCATTTTCTAAGTGCACAAAATTGTAGTTAAGACCTCTTATTAGTTATAATCAGTAAGATCTTTTTCCAAGTTATAGGGGTGGGGGGAATAAGGACCAAAGAAAACACACTGCTAATTTTGTCAAAAGATCCTAGCAATTTAGATGTTATGACTTCCTTTTAGATGAGTTAAAAAACAAAAAAAAAAAAGATCCCAGAAAAGCGATAATTATTTTCTCTTTGTAACATAAACGATTCAACAGATAATTCAAGCCACTTTGTTCCTGAAATGTCTTATCTATTTAATAAGTAACAGTAATGAAATGCCTATCTTCTGAAGAAAAAGGAAACACTCAACACCAAAAGGCAATTTTTACAAAGATAAATAACATTTTTTCCCCTAAGCCAAGGAACATCAGTGAGGTGTTTCTATTTGCCAAAGTGAAATTCCAAGTCTTATAACTAGTCACATTAGTTATCCAAAATTTCCTCACATGAGCAAAACATACTTCTGGTTATACTTCCTTGGCCTTTCACTTACTGCACCCTACTGACTGCCCTATAATTTGTCAGGGGACAGGTCTGATTATTTTAGGCTATAATCTAACAAAACCTTTATTTAAAATTTAGCAATTATCAATCTAAATTATACTCAATGTAAAATACTAAATTCTTCCATCAGGAATTTGGAAACCTTAACTCAGTTAAGATTCTAAATTATGTTAAGTTAAATAACTTTTAGACTCCCTTCCCATCCCTGTTCAATTTCTGGCACATATTTACACTACAATTAACTGGTAGTTATAAGGCAGTGCAAAACTAGGTTTTACGTCGAGAATGTCTCTGATAAATCTACAACTCTAAGAAATTAATGTGATTCCACAAAAAAGTTTGTTTCATATTTCATTGCAGAAAAAAATCAAACCTTCAAAGCAGCTAAGACACAGCTAGCACCCATTTAAAAAGTCATCAAAAAAATGAGAATTAAAACTGTATTTAACAAGGAGGGGAAACTAAGGTTTGAGAAGTAAGATCTTATTTAGCCTGTTAGTGGGGAGTAAAAAGGGCAGATTCAGGCAATTCCCTAAATTCATTTTTTATAGCTATTCTCTGCCCCATGTGTAAGCAACGTAGCTAAAAGGACTGTGCTACCTTTTCTGATTAGAGTTGGCCGTTAGGCATTAAGCTTCAAAACACCTTAAAAGATGACAACAAAAATCTTATTTACACTCTAATATATTTAAACCTCTGTCTTCTGAAGCATCTCCTTTTTTGCCTAAGGTTAAAAAAAAAAAAAAAAAAAACAGTGATCTAAGAGTTAGACAGTGTAGAATCTTATTAGATCTATCCACTTGAGTTATTTGGGCCTTGGTTTCTTGTCTGTCTGTAAAAGAATTTCAGCCAAACCACCTTCCCCAGGTGGTGTCCTGTGGCATGTCAGGCTCCTGAGACACTCTCTAAAAAGTGATTCCTTGGCTATGTAAGTTTGGAAAACCCTCTTACTTATAGCAGCCTCACCTCCTTTTCCCCCTTACCTTAGTGAA